TTACACTGTCATAGAACTTTTATCTCAACCTGCCGTATATTACACAGACAAACTCAATGGTGCGTAAAAACTGGAACTAAATCCTTCTGTAAGTGCAAGGTAAGATGGACTGGGGAATCTCTCGGTGTGAACTTATAAAACGTTGGTCGGGTAAAAATATATCGAGTGTGAAAATGTGTTTTCTCAGCAAAGCGATCTTTGTGGATTTTCTGGCGCAAAACTTTAGTATCATCGTAATAGTGAATATAAAATGAAAGATTTTCGTATAAAATAAAAATATATAATTCGGATAAAACAGTTGTCTCAGCCTAATTCTGCTCGAGTTAAGCGGTTCACTTTTGCACGTCCAATTATAGCTTGCCGGGATCTGGGCGCTCGACGAAACCTCGAGGCTTATTTTAACATGAAAGTGCCGCCAGTTAAAGCTATAAAGACTCGTCAAACAGTCGCCACTGAGAAATCAAAAGCCGTGTAATAACGAATGAATAAAGCCATTCTTCATTGTATTATCTCAAATACTTATGGTGTTAATTTAAAATGAACTTTGTTACGTAAGCTTAAAACTCTTTATCAAGACAATAAATTTCTATGATAGGATTAAGAAAAGCTAGACTTTGTTTGTAGCTAGAGTAAGGTATTTAATTAAAGTAAATGCTAACTTGTTCCAATGATCTATTAAATTGGGAAAGTATCGTTGCTTTTATAAAAAAAATTCGTGAACTAGATAGAATATTTTTTTTCAACTTTTCAAAAATAATTTCTAAACAAGCATAAAGAATAAAAAAAATATTTTGTACATTTTTTATTCGAAAAGTGTCAACACGCTTTTGTCGTTGAATATTCAAAGACCGACATATTGGGATTGTGATGGGCTTACGAACAGGGATGGCGACTACGAGATCGATAAATAACACACACTGACTGCCCGGGTTGTAAAAGAAAAATCTACTGCTCCAGTACTGACAAGGATCAAGTATTCAATTTTTCAATCCGTTACTTCCGTGACGTTGATGCAGTGAAGTTGGAGTTATGAAACACGTCGAGTATGAATAATATTTCATTCTGTACGAGTGTCTGTGTTACAATTTCCGTGAAGTATGATGTCCTTGCAACAGTAAACAAAGCAAATTACAGGTCGGGCTGGAATAGGAAACTATAGGGCTTACGAGAAATGTACGATATTCACCATTCAGTTGTGTTGAGGGTTAAGTCGTGATAATGTGCACTATTTTATTTATTTTAGTTCCATCGTATCTAGGTAACGTTAAAACGTATGGTTTATAACGATGAACTAAAAAGTTTTCTATTCATAGCTAAAAATAGATCGAGCTGCATTTCAGAAAATAAAACTTCTAAATTTGAAAGCCTTTGATTAATCAATGCGCTGAGCAAGTTGATTGGCGACTGCAAAGCCCCTATCTCACTCCTTTTCAAAGCTGTTATAATCATGCCTCTTATACCTCACGTTCAATATCCGGATCTTTCATTAAAAACTCCGACAGTATGCAGGTAAATTGTTCTACCATCTTCTTGTTCCAAAGTTGTCTTTTAAGATACCCGCGGGAATGGCGACACAGTCTATTTACTGCGACCACGCAATATGAGGTTACTTAGCAAACTGTAAACTCTTTCCTATCCCTATATAAAGACTTGTTAACTAACTTTGTGCTCTGAATTACATTAGTTGTATGAACTAATCGCAACTTGAGAACTATCACTTAACATTAAAACTAAGTCTGGCGGTCCAAAACCGTGTAGCCTCATCATTGTGACCGCGATTAATTAGTTATTAATTAATCCTACACGGTATATAGTACGCTCTCCAGAAACCGCGTACAAATTGTAGGGCTGTAATACATACCTCCCCACTTACATCAAAGGAGAATTCGATTAATGAATAAAAAGCTTCTGCGAATGAAGAAAATATAGAAGAGAAATTAGAATTTGCTCATTCAATTCAAATATTGAAGTAAGAGATGCTCTCGATCTCAAAGAGTGGCAGGATTTCTCTAAACAAATCTTTGCCATGTCGAAGCGTGCCCTTATTTTTGTGGGAACGTTTAATTAAACTGATGTACTCCATTGTTGTTGTCTTGTGTAAATATGTAGGTACTAGCTTTCAAATCTACTAAATCAGCCAGATTCTTTGCAAAATCATCACAGGACATTTTTTTTATTTAAAATGTAGAACAAGGCATCACTTGACATTTATCTTAAAGCAGAATGCGGTAACTTATCTGTATTAGAAATCTTGAGTAGGACGTAACACTGTCTTGTCCTTTCCCGAACATCCCTGAACTGTCAGGTTGTCACCTGACAGGCCAATATTGTTTGAAAAGAAAAATCAAAAATTTACGTTGTTGGATTCCTCATTTTGGATTTAAATAATTTATGATTACTCTCTGCTACTTACTATTACTATTATTTCATCAAACCTAAAGCGAACGCCGACAATTTCGCGTACGTAAGTTCGCGCACCTATTGTTCTTCTATTGTTTCTCGAAGTATCACGATTATAAATATGTATTCTTTTTTCTTTCTTTCTTATCCAGTACAAATACAGTGGCTACACTTGATTTTAATGATTCCGTATCTTTTGTAATCTTAAGTCTCAGAATATCGGTCCCCGGGATAGGGATGTTCAACCAGTCTATTAATATATAGAAGCATATTTTGTTTTCACGCAAAAGTTTTTAAAAGATAAAATAAATATTTACATAATATTTAACGGCACGCTTAAATAGTTTCTTTGTGAAACGATTATAACTTTCCATGTACTTTACTCTGAATTCGAAGTGCTTACTCCTTACATGATGTTAATGATGATAAGTGAGAAATACTTGAGAAACATTCTCGTACATAGTTTCAATTAGCTACGTCGAGAAGACATCGCTTGACGAGGGTGTGCTTTGAATCTAAATCAACACTTACCAGTCTTGACATCTAATCCTAGGGATTAAACTTTGGTCTAGCTTAATCAAATTGTTATACGAACTTAATTTCTATTATAACGTTGACCTGGGAAATGCCTACTATTGTTTCTATTTAAACTGTTTGTTTTTGTTTATGGGTAAATTTTAAAATGACTTCTTCTACCCTGGTTGGGGCGAAAAGAAATGTCAGACTGTTACTGACTAATAACGATCCCGTTTCTTCTTTTGTTTTGGGTCACGCCGCGGTACGTTACTGCGCTTGCACCTCTGAATTTTGAATTATTCTCAGATCTAGATTATAAAAAGTGCGAAATTCTGGTAACGCGCTATATAAATATTTTTAACTTAGTCGCTTAAAACTGGATGGAATATACTCGTAATTTTTCCATACTATTATGTATATCACATGATATCGATCGGACTTTTATTCGGCCGAAGGGTATGTTTAAGAACCTATTCTTTAAAATATTGTTGTGACCCACAATTTTCTCTTTTGAGTCTGCGTAGTATTTGTATGTTTTAAAATTGAATGAAATCTTGATAGATAAAGTGTTAATATAAATTTTAGCTTGATTACATAATACTTTATAGCCTAATATCCATAACGCAGAAAATATGTCATCGCACTACATTTACGGGTACATAAAACTAATTATGTTTTATGTTTATAGGCTTTCAGTACAAGTTACATAATAAGTCTATTTTAATATTAATAAGTGAGTACTTCCAGTACTCATAACGTTAGGCTATCAAATTATATCTCGGGTTCAGCTTCACTAAGTATATCTAAAATAATTAATGAGCAGCGTTGACTTGAACACGGTTTTTCGTGAGAATAAATACGTAACGTCATGACAAGTGCTCGCTTCCAAAGCTGGGAACTAAATTGAGGCTAACATCGGACGGACGAAAAACTGTGATATCGTTGAACATAAATTAGTTAACGTGTACTGGCTGTAAACAAGATTAACCCTGCAGTTACTTAAATCGAAGACCCCTGTTAATGGTTACGGGTGCCGTTATCTGTTATTGACTGCCTCTTGTAAAACGGCCAGGTTAACTTTGAATTAATAAACACAATTAGAACACAAAGAGATTTTGTTTTTACCTGACTTCATTAGGGCTGTAGTTGTAAGACTCTTTTTTTAAAGGAATTTATCTGTGTGCCAGAATTTTAAATTATTCTGCATTATTCTTGAAATTTCCAGAATGTGATGATCGAATAACAATCAAATTCTGTTACGAATACCGAACAGTGCCCGACCGTAACACTTTGACCCAATTTTACCAATGTGGTATATGTCAGTCCTAGTTTCCTATTCTATGGGTGTACTGCTCTACCTCCATTATAGTGAATCCACAAATCTTTAGTCTAGTTGTAACCCAAACATAAATTGTAATGTTTGGGCCACAGCTACGTCAAAGATGTGACCGCGACTATTCAACACAGATGTGGGTACCCAAATATCTATCTGTATTATCTCCTAACTTATTTGGTTAAATTTTGGGATCTGATCTTATCCGAGACATATACATGCATAATACATACAGGTTACACGTCGAATATGAACTAAGACATATTTTGGCCGCAATTCTGTAAACAAATTTGCCGTCAAGTACCTAGCTAAAGCGGTCTGCCATACTGTTCGGTATCCGCTATACCAACAGAACCAAACGTTAATATTGATTAAGTCTAATTTGTAATTACAATGTTCTTGTTAAACTCATTACCATACAAATAGATCCCTTCAAATAGATGCCCTCCTTTTGTTACAGATACGCAAATGAGCCGAGTACCAAGGATTGCAAAACAGAGAATTATTAAATTTCATCATGATTTACCGTCCATAGTTCTGTGCTGTAAACAGTAAAATTTTGCTGAAGTGTATCTGAAGTAACTGAAGTGACTGTTGTAAATAAAAGTGCAGTAAATGTTGGGGCGGGAGAGTCTGTGTGGTGAGAGGGCACGTTGAGCGTGGATGGTGTTGGTCGGGCGTCGGGTATGGCGGCGCGGTGCGGGGGGCGGGCGGGGCGCGGGCGACGGTGAGGCCGGGGCGCGGGTGCGCGATGCGCGGACGCCGGTGGGCGGCGGCGGCGTGCGTGGCGTGGTATGCGTGGTGCGCGTGCGCGGTGCTCGCAGCGACGAGCGCGGGCCGCGAGCTACGGGTCCTGCAAGCGGATGCGCGCACCGCGTTTTACGTGGGCATCGCCGCGCCGCCCTCGGCCGCCGACGTCGTGCGAGTGTTCAATCGCTCGCTCGCCGACATCTCTCACACGTACCTGGCCGGCGACTACCCGCTCCATCTGCGCAACATCTCGCTGCTGCCGCTGTACATCGAGCTGCCAGAAGATGAAAAGTAAGCATATTTCTACTATTTTTGTCATCCCGCATATGTTTAGATATTTTCTTGCATCATACTTAACCAAACCACTTTCAAGCCAATAGAAAATATCAAAGAGTTGCATTAAAGTTTATAAGCTCCTTATCTCTTTAAGCAGCTAACGTATTGAGAGACCGTGTTCGGTAGTCTATGTATTCAGTTGCCAATTATTCCAATCCCCCGGAACATGCCCGATAAATGGAAATAGGCTCGGACACCACCCTTTACGGAGTACACGATTAACGAGTCGGTGGGTGTTGGAGACTGTGATAATGCCACTACGGGATTAAAGCTCGCTTTGAACTAGCTATCGGTGATTGCACTTTGCTTGATTCTAGAAAACACACCAATTCCAAAATAGAAATATTGCCTAGAAATATTGCCTCGTACAGGTCTTCCATCGGATTGTCGACCTTAGAGCGTGGGTTCGCCCCTCAATTAATAATAGTAATTAAAGAAAAAATGTATAATTGAATTTTTCTTTCAGAAGTACGTATTAATTGCCTGTTAAAATACGGATTTCAGTCTGGGAACGCCATTAAATTATGAGAGGCTTTCTCCCTGTCATATGAATTTAACCTAATTATTTATTCAAAACCTCCCTAAAATGTACTCGTGGCAGGTATTAAAGCTTACTACAAAATTAAGCTTAAAAACGTCATCGGAATGCTTCAAAGTTAACATAGGTATAATATTATTAAAATTCAGAGAAGACAATCAATATTACAAATGTAAGTCTTTAAAACTTGTCCAAGATCACGACATCGACTTAATTATTGAATAACAGTTGATTTTCCAACATATTGAACACATTGCATTATGTTTCTTATGGTTCACTGAAATAAAGTCCTTTTTTCGATATTTGTGGTGTTCAAACATACAACATTCGAAAAAGATTCGTTTGAACTTTTAGCATCACTTGTAGTACAGCTATGAATAGACACAAACATTCAACTTACAGACATCACTCAAAAAGAAACCGTTACATTGAAGTCAATCGATCAAAGGGATTTTCCAGCATTGTGCCACAATAAAACGTGGCGAGGGTATGAAGCGACCGTCAATTTATCTCACAAACTCAAACCGACATAAGCCGTCAAACAGAACTATTCACAAGTTTCGATTTCAAACAAACCCGATACACGTCTTGCTCAAGCGAACACTTTATGGATATTGTTCGAGTTGTTCCGATTTGATCGCAATGCTAGAAACGCCGCGCTGGACCGCAATAGTTTCACAGTCAGAATCCAGATGAGATGCGGCTTGAATCCGTATCAATATTAGCTTTGGGTGTTACATTTTCTGGTTAATGAATACTTGGTTCCTATAGTTTGCTGCAGAACTATTTAATTTATGCATTATTATTACTGCAGAAAGACTGATAGGAACTATCTCAATAAAAACACTGTTAATAATTTCCATTCATTTTACAGGCACGATGCCTTCAATCAATATACAGTTTGTACTATGTTTATTGTAATTCAATGTAAAACGGACTTCAATACAGCGAGTGCTCTTCACTTACTTTAATTGATTTTGGGTTTACTAACTGTTTGTGTCTTTGAATTCATTGTATTGACGGTACATTGAAAAAGAAAGTCTTCTTTTAAGGTGTTTTTTTATGCGTGGTTTCTAAGCGATGTTCATTTCAATAATATCAAAAATAAATGTAATAAATAAAATAACGTTTAACACTAAAATCGCGAACGATACGTCCAATGCAATGGTACCTATAAATTGAACGTGTACAATTTTTATTTGTTTTAACAACACAGCCTTTTTTTTGTCTGACTAAACCCCCCCCCCCTGTTCCTTCTCCTGCTCTGGGCAGGATGATGCTGTTTTAGCCGCGGTGACTCGTCGCGCCGCGTTAACTCGCAACCCCGGCTGAAACAGCATAGTCTGGGCTTATTGTCTAGGAACAAGTAAATATCTTGAATTCATAATAATCTTCAAAGTGGCGTGTTAGCTACAAATTTCTTACATTTTTCAATCGAAAAAAAAAGATCTGTCGATTCCCTACTCTATTGGAAAATTTAACGACGCACTAGTAAATGGTTGAGCATCAAAATACAAACAAATTACCAGCTTATCTAGCGTCTATCACGTTACAATTAAAATTCTTTACTCCCATTCGTTTTGTTAACTCAAAGCCTGCATCTTTAACTGCGCCGGATCAAGTATAAAGGCTATCGGGTTTTTATTTCTAGTTTAAATAGTTCCGTCAAGTTTCGAGCATTATTTTCTTTGGGCATGAAACCGTCGAACTTTCACCGGTCATGTAGGATTGACATTACATTTGCCGACACCAGGGCCTTTTGTTAAGCTATTGGACGCGCTTCGTGACGCCGATTTGATTTCCGTTGGAAACTAGCAATTGTAAAGCCGATACTACTGTTTGACTACTTCTAGTTTGACGGTTAGTTCCAATTGAAACTTAATTCTAGGTGCGATAGAAATTGTATTTCATTGTTGTTGTTGTTTTTGTGAGTTGGAAACTACATAAATATTTGTATCAGAATAATATTAGAGTTACAAAATTTTATTCCCACTTACAATTGCCGGTTTCAATAGTCCTATGTAGCAAAAACGCAAATCTATGTAATGTGTAAAATGTAATGTCTATGTGATACCGTCTACTTGACGGGAAAAGAAGTTGTTTTTTGATGTTAGCAAATCATTAATATCCTGTAACTATATTTTAAAGAAATTAAATAGAGATTTTATGTTTACATAATTATATGAAGTAGGTAGGTATAGCTGGGAGAAAATGAATTAATGGCAACGTTAATAAGAGTTTTATCTGCATTGTTACAAGGGCTGCAATTATGACTCAGTATGCAACTTTTGTTCGCTGTAAACAATACAAATGAGTTAATTTATGTCTCTTTTAAAAACAGGTTGGTTAAGGACTAGATTATTTTTAATAGAAAATAGTTTCCTACTATCCTGTTAGACACAGACAACATACTTGATTGACATATTGATATCAATGATATGATGAGATCTGATCAACGATAACAGTATTACACGCATGTTAACGCGCTAAGACGCTTACATAAATTTCTTATTATATTGTGAATGTATCATGGAAAATCTAAGAAACCATGATTTTCAAATTTTGTAAAAGGAACTAATAAATAAACTTAATTTCTCAATATATTTTCAGATACCTAAGTACTTTAAATGAAGAAAAACAATTAGCAGTTCAAATTCTGTGTAGAGAAGTATGACATCGTATTCTGCAGTAGAGTAGTATTGATCATCTTTTGTTTCTAGTAAACAGAATAAAATAAAAATACGACTCCATCAAAATACCCAATAATAAAATTCCTTCTACGACATAACAATGAACCGTGTAATCGCAAGTACTTGAGTCTGAAATTCAATATTCGTGGAGTAAAATTTCAACGACAGAGGTAAACGGTCAAGTCCTGTCGTTACTGTGACTCAAGTACTTACAATTGTACTGGAATGCAATTCCAAGTTTACGGTTATTTTAAACGATAACGTTATGTTCAACTGCTAACTAGGCCACGTTAAATGTTAATTTTAATGGCTTGTTTTATTCACTCTCTTTACTATAAAGTCATGGCATAAATTAAGTTCAGGCGAAGCACCTATTAAAAGAGCCACTAATAATAACAACACAAAAAAGAGAATAGGTAATGATGAGGTCTTACAATATTATTAGCTTCCGCTAGCGGGTTCGCTTACAGCAATAAGAAGCCTTTATTTTATTCCAGACTATAATCTATGCCTATGAAATTTCATTTACATCCGTTTTTTTTTAATATTTTTATTTCTAATAGTAACTAACATCAATTCACACGTTCATCCATGTATTCAAACGTTAAAAATATTAGTTCTTGAGAATCAAAATCACATACACATTTGACTTTTGTTTGCAATTCTTTGGTCAAAAAATTTGGTCTTTATTTGTTTGTAAAGAACATTTTAATAATAATAAACTAAGCTTGCTCTCCCAAGCTACATCGTAAGGTGGCTTAGCCTGCCAAAGTTGAGATAAAGCTTCATACAGTCTATAATAATGTGTCGTGTTTCTACATAAGCGATGCGGCTTACGTTTTAGATAGTGTAGCGTGCTACGGCGTAGCAACGCGCTACGAAACGCATACATCATTAGAAAGAAACTGATATTGTAGGGACGAAATTTTATTTTAGATATTTTTTATATGTGGTTCGAAATTCATTTTTCTATTCAGAAGTAAGCTTTTCTTCTAGATAGCGGCCATCTTGTAAGTGCTTGACAGCAAATCCAAATTGTTTTAGCTGCTTCTGTCTTTATTTCTGCAGTTTTCTACATTTATAACTTACATATTTAGGTTTTAATTACAGTTATGTAAAAAACGTCGAGCGTAATTTTAGTTATGTACACCATATAATGTATCTTTACATGTTTCAGCGCGAAAACTATAGGGAATCACAGCATCGTATTACCATAAAGTAATATTTTATGATATGATGTTCTGATATTAAACCTTCGTTTCTACCCACGACCACGCTTTATCATAATGACTTTATTGAGGATAACATTTTGATATACATGCAAATATGCGCACAAATATATAGTTATGGATTCAGGCCCGACAACACGGAGTCAGTTAGTTAACACAGAGGATTATATTGGAAAGATTTATTAATACCCAAACATGTTCTATTGATAACTTAGGAAGAACGATCTTTATAAAATTTAAAATCCACAAACATATTTCCTTCCAACATTTATTTTTTACTTCCAAGCTGTCTTCGAGTAAATTAATTAGAAAATGATGATGAAATTGTTTACTTTTTTGTGTCAGAATAAGAGAAAAAGGTGCTCTATAATTGCAATTTTTTTGCATAATAATTATTTGTAACAAAGTGAAATATAAACGAGTAGAAAAGTTTCTTGAAAGAAACGAATAATAATTGCATCTTTTTGCGTAATGTAACTAAAATTATTATTTGAATTAATTATTATTTTGAATGAATTTATAAGTAGTTCATTTGTTTTACACTCGCTTTTTTTAGTTTTTTTTTCATTTCTGGCTTTTTTATCAGACTCATCATAATACGTGTTGTTTCACAGATCCTGTTCCCGAGTATTTGAATGCTTCTTCTATCTTATTAGTTTAGTAGTATTTATTAGCTTAGTATCTCGTTAGTTAGTTAGTTACATTTGCATCTGTGGTAATTCATTAGCATATGCATGTATTTCAAAGGAGATATTCATAATGCTGTAGGGTATTTTGTCATATTGTCTAGAATAAGCTGGATGGCTTGATAAGCAATAAGCCTCCCTATGTTACAACGGGAATATATTAGAAAACCTATTGTCAGCAAATACATACTCCTCCATATATGTATAATTCACTCTTCTTCATCTTATATCAGATTTTTTACTTTTATAGTAATACTTATATATTTAATTTAATACTTATTAATTTAAATATTATGTTATGTACAATACAGTATAAAAAATATCTTTTAATCGGATTTTGATGCGTTTTTTTTTTCTAGAGATAGAGCGATTGTATAGGATAAGGTATATACCTGTGTATGTAATGATATAAAATAAATTTCAAATAATACTTCAGAAGTTCATTGTCAGCTTTGCATCCGTGCGCAGCAGTACTTAGGTATATATGTTGTATAGTTTACTTAGATGTCATTATGAAGAGCAGAGTCCCCTTAAACTAGTTTTAATCGCCTATGATGAAACTCGATTTTCGATCTTACAAATAGCTAACTTTATATAAATAGAAATAAAATTAAAAGCTTTATGAGATAGATGGTGATATAATTTTAATTTTCGAACATATTGCATTTTATTTGATAAAGGAACTATTGATAGGAATGATTTTAATTAATTTGTGTCCTTATTTCAATGGAATAAATACTCTTTTATTTGATTGGAATAATAACATTATTTTTATACAAAATACAAAAGCTTCTCTTGAATTCAATATACTATACCAACGTTTCGCGTTACATTTGCCTGATATTATTTCATGTACCAGTTGGCATTCAATTGTTTCAGAACTAAAATGAAATGTTTTTCAACTGTTAGCTTAGTTGGGTGCTGCGTTACAAAGCAATTGTCAATATAAAATTATCTTGATGAATAATGACCTGTAGTTTTTTGTATCTACCATGTTTTTTCTTACTTTTTGTGTCCTGGCTGAGTTTTAATTTTAGTACCTGATGACCGAGATCAGCTCGGTATCTTTGAAGTATTTATGTCTTATAAATGTTCTGAAAACTAACCCTTACTCGCCCCGTAGCATAGACCAAATAAAATCAACCTACCCTACCTTTTATTTTAGTATGTAAATACAAAATTTCATCGAAATTGTTGGAGCTGTTTTTAAGATCCTGTACAAATATATGAATACAATTGATTGCTTGTTTATGGGTATTAGATAATTACTTACATTGTAAACGTCTTTCGAAATCAATGGCTAAAAAGTTTACATGTAACAATTAATAGATACATAGGAAAAGCATAAATATAGTATACTGTTATCTCTATAATTTAAATCTACAAATCATTACGGCGTTCAATAAAATACAAAATATTATCTGTAAATACCCACTCAATCAAATCCTATTTGCAAATAAAAGAATATTAATTCTCTCACCGGATTTATTTACGAAGAAAAGTCCAATATAAAAATAAAAACTAGTGGTTACAAGTCTATGACGTTCAAAAACATTTCACTATAAAAACAAAAGAAAGAAAAAGAACCTTTCAATATTTCAAATATCGTAAAGATGAAGGTATTTTTTGCCAATACCACGACTTCAGTATAGCGGTGACTCTTGAAATACGACCTCTAGGGCATTAAAAGAAAAATAAATACGTTCTCTGAAAATGTATTACTTGAATTTGTTTATTCAGTTCGTATAGCGTATATCTTCAAGTCCTCCGCGTCCGAATCAAATACAATATGGCAGTTCTTTCCAAATTTCTTATATGAGATGTGGTACAAACATTCCATTCCTGCTTTTTCTGCAGCTCTCTGCGCTTTTGCACTTGTAAATATGCCGCCTGTTGCACGGAAGCCCAGATCCTTTGAGAGGTTTATTCTGAAAATTAAAGCAACACCTTTAACTTAAATTTACATCGCGAAATTATTTACGGAGCTGGCAGTACCCAAGAGATTTGAACGTATTTGCTATATTTCGTATAGTTAGATGCCAAACGGATTGCAGTTCGTAGATATTGACATCGGAATGTAGTTGCGGTCGCTGGTCCTCTCGCAGCCGGCACGAGCACGCTCAGTTCGCAAATTGTTTGCGATGTATTTTTGTTAACTTGCAACTTGCAACTTGTTCGGTTTAGTCCCAGCAGCGGTTCGTCAGAACTTGATAAATTTATACTGTATGTTATTTGTTTTGTATGTTTGAGTCAATTTATGTATAAAATTGTATTCTTTTCCTAATATAAGTTTGGATGTTCCGCTACCCGGGATATAGCGACGTAGATTACCTCGTAGACCTTAATAGGGTTACTAAGGTCCTTTGGAAATGTCGCCTTCGCCACAGCTACCTGGCATCAGACGGGCCGTAATTACGGGTACAGAATATAGGCTGGCCAATGGGCAGTTTTGGGAGGATTAAGGTATATAATTTACCTGGCCTTAAGCAATTCTACTGCGATGCCCAGACCTCGGTATTCGGGTGCGACAGACAAACCAGCTCCCATAAGGTACGTGTTCACGTTGTATTTATCATAAATCGCTGTCACTTTCATGGCCTCGGCGAACATTCGTAGAGATAATAAGCCCGGTTTGGACTTTGGCTGCAAAGTAATATAACACATTATGAATGTACTTATTACGTTGACGTACTAGATTATTATGGTAACAGAAGGTAAAAATATTTAGTTATGTTATTGTCAGTAAAAAGAATAAGTGTAGGAGAGCCATGCTTCGGCACGAATGGGTCGGCTCGACCGGGGTGATACCACGACCTCACAGAAAACCGGCGTGAAATAGCCACAGTGTTGTGTTTCGCCGTGTAAGCGAGGTTGCCGAAGGCCCAATCCCTCTCCAATTCCTAATTCCCAAAAGGTCTGCAACGCACTCGTAACTCCTCTGATGTTGCAGGTATTCATGGGCGATGCTGATTGCTTACCTTCGGATAGGCAATAATAGTAAGAAGAATAATAGTAGGAAAAAATATTATTTTGCTCAAACTGTGGTTATAATTATTTTTAAAGCGCATATTTCAATGATAAGATAATATAGGTAAAAATCTATGTAAATTTTAAGCCAAATGCAACGTATGTATACTCAAATTTATACATAAGAGATCAAAAATACATATCGTAAGGCCATTGTTTAAATATAATAAAATAATGTTTATGCAGATTTACGCTTCGAAATAATAGGGCGGGTTGAAAAGAGGTTAGACAACCGCTATTACCGGCCTGTGTTCAACGAAGCGTCCTTTTTCCTGCGGCAAGCACATGTTTACAGCGACAAGTGTGCGTCCTGAGCCGTCTCCTTCAGCGAGGAAGCACGCTACGCTCATTTTCTGCCTAATGATCGATGTCAGCAGCACGCGGTATTCTTGTACAGCCTCTAAATCCAAAGCTGTGCCTGTCAGTACGGAACATTACAAGATTAATTTATTCTCATCCCAACAACATTTAACCTACAAATTCTAAAGTGCGTCCTGTAGCAACTTTGTGTGCGCTTTTTACAAAATAAATATGATTATAATGTTAAATTAAACGCCACTGATATTCGTAATCGCGCTTATTAATCTAATTCTATGAAAGAAGATTTACTCTCTAGTCATTATTTTGATTAAGTAACTTCTTCTTTGAAGACGAAGTCGAAGTTGATAATTTGCAAAATTGATCTGTTCTGATTGTAATAGACAAGTTTCAAGTTTCAAAATATTTTGCTCGAATTTTGCGAATCTATAATGGAATTTATTCGGTTGTTCTCATAGCGTGAAGCAATGTTTAGAATTCAGAAGTCGGCCGAAGTGACTACTGGCGGGAAGGGTGCCTAATGACAGAACATTTAAGGTTTTTCCCGGCCTCGAGGTAATTGGGCGTTGGCACGGTCATACAACTGCTAATGACTTACGTATTTTCTTGCGTAAGAAAGTGTGAGAGAAACGAGACGGGATTTTCGTAATTGCAAAAAATATCTACTTATTAGCGCGGTCAAGAGATTCATTACTTTGGGATTGCTTCAATTTAGGAATCCAATTAACTAGAAGAAGCTTACCAGCAGCTTTCCACCACACATCTTCACGGATATAGTTGCCGAGCATAAACTCCACGGCCGTACTCCACATACTTTCTGGAATGTCTTCTATTTCGAATTTTAACATTCTACCGTCTTCCACATTTCTTTCAAAATTACTCCACACTTTGGGATACTCGCGGGTAGACATGGCTTTATATCGCTAGAGCAAAGACTACAGCCGGGGATGCTTTTAAAGCTTTAAATTTAAAACGACTTCTGAGGCACTGAACGACTGGATTCAGACTGAAGTGTACTTACGATGTTATCCTCTCGGTTTGTATATTACTTTATTATTCAAGGTCTTACGCGTTATTGGATAACAATAACAACAGGGTGATTAGAAAAAATAAATGACTTAACTTTATATTTATTACGATCTTCAACCAAAATTCATTTAATAAATGGATTACAAGATTATCTCAAAGTCACTAATGCCATACTTTAAAAATACATTAATTATTAACAGTAATATAATCTGTGAGATTACAGTTAAATGCCGTTTGTAACAAGCTGTATAGTTACTAATGCAAATAGGTCAATGCGGCGCTCTGATCCGTGTAAATGATACTCGGAGAACTAATTGTGGTTAAAATTGAGTTGTAGGCGTACTTAGCTATTCATGTGTATATCAAAAATTCAAAGTACTTATTGTGTGTGTACGACGTCAAGTACAAAGCCATGGCAAGACTTACAATGCTGTTTGTATTAGTTACTATGAAATTGTTAGCGGTACGGTAAAGTAGCGTTCCCTTCTTTGTTTGTTGAATATTATATTGTAGTTTAACGACGGAATGTTAGAGACAAGCTTTACTGAAAGTAATGAATGTACCAAGAACGGCAATTCCAACCACTTTCGAGTTCTGAATCCGTTTTTGTTATGAATAATGTACTTCAATTTAATCTATTCTACAGTAAGCGTACCCTTCGCTTTAATGATCCCAAATGTAATTTAACGTACGATTTATCTTCAGCCTGTCTAGACATATTAAATTTTATGAAAGTAAATATCTTTTTATAAAAAGGATTTTTATTTAATGTTATAGCATACAGTAAATTTTTAGTGTGATAGAAATAGTCAGAAACATTTTTGCTGTTGGGTGTAACCTTCTGATGAATACTATAGCTGCTGATTTTAAGATTCTAGAAAAGTTCAGTAGTAAAAAAATGTATTCTGTATAGGTTCAAGTGTGGGAGAGCCAAGCTTCGACACGAATGGGTCGGCTCGACAGGAGTGATACCACGGCCTCACAGAATACCGACGTGAAACAACCATAGTGTTGTGTTTCGCCGTGTAAGCGAGGTTACCGGAGACCCAACCCTTCCCTCCCCCGATAATTCCCAATCCCTAAATCTCCAAAACCCTAATCCCTAAAAGGTCGGCAACGCACTCGTTACTCCTCCGTTACGGGTGTCCATGGGCGGCGCTGATTACTTACCATCAGGTAATCCGTCTGCTCGTTTGCCGACCTATTCAATAAAAAAAAGGACTGATGATATCTGTGGGGTGGCTGGCAGTAGTTGAGTGAAAAGACTGAACATCGAGCTCAGTAGCGTTCAATTGGAGCGGCCTATGCCCAGCAGTGGACGGAATCAGGCTGATGATAATGAGTCTGTGTCAAATATATGATATCATATTACATAAAAGCAAAATTATGATAAATTAATTCAAAAACCTTTATCCTTACATAATCCACGGTTAACACAATAAATAAAATCCAGAACATGGTTAAACGTGAGAGGTATAAATACAATTCAGAGAAAATGTTATTTATCCCCCGAGTTATAATGTTCACTTAAGTTGTGGCAGCCCTGTCTTAGGAATGAATTACTGACTTAACGGGAGGTTGAGGCTCCGGAGTTGATTGACACGGGATTATGCACTTTTGCTTACAACGCTCCGGATTACGCGTGAAGACGTTCTTGATACTGTCACGTTTCAAAGTAATATGAAATTTTGTGAGAATTTCTTGTGCGTTGGTTTTGTATTAAGGTGTAGTAATTGGCCTCCTGTTTTTGTCAACAATATTTATGAGACAGTTTTAAAAAATTGTGAAGTTGTACGCGATAACGATGAACAATGATGATGCGACAAACATACTTATGCAAATTAATGAAAATATCGCTTACCGCAGTGAATATCTTTGCTAAGCCAATTTAAAATAATTATTTCATTTATAAAATATCTAAGCATAAAATAGAATAATATCAAATATTTTGACGTTAAAGTCCTATTAACTTAAAACTTAATAAAATAGCTTTTAAAAATTATGCCTAACAAACAACTTGTCTAAACTTTTTCATAAATAATCCCTTTTTTGACAAATGATGTTTTATTCGATTTATCCAACCCGTAATTGAGACAGGCCAGAAAGTTTGATAGGTACTTGTGTAGGCGGGTTCAAAATACGTTTGAAGGGTCACCTCTGGATGAAGTTTATATTAATAGCTAACTACAGGGATTTTTACCGAGCTCCGGCAAATAACGTGTGTGAAAAATAAGTACTTAAATAAAAAAAAAATGCGTTTTTTAGTTAAATTGTTAGAAAATCTTTGCAGTATATACCTACTTTGATTTATTATTTACAACGTTTTTTTTTATGTAATATATCGGCAAACGAGCAGACAGATTACCTGATGGTAAGCAATCAGCGCCGCCCATGGACACCCGCAACGGAGGAGTTACGAGTGCGTTGCCGACCTTTTAGGGATTAGGGATTTGGCGATTTAGGGATTGGGGGAGGAGAAGGATTGGGCCTCCGGTAATCTCACTCACACATCGAAACCAACGATGTGGTTGTTTCACGCCGGTTTTCTGTGAGGCCGTGGTATTACTCCGGTCGAGCCGTCCCATTCGTGCCGAAGCTTGGCTCTCCCACACTTATGTCGATTTTGCACTTCCAGAAGCTCACTTCTTCTTTTTTTTTTGTTTTCTCTACGTACAAACATTTTCTGGATAAAATTAGCTAAACCAGTACAGGCATTAAAAATGAAAAGTGGCACTGATTCACTCATACTGGTAGATAAGGTCAATGAAAATAAAGGCGAGTTTTATTATTAAAGTCACTACATTTCGATTTTCGAGATTTTCGAGGCATTACTCGCACAAATTGTATTTTATTATACATGTCCCCACGTAAATGGTTTTAAAAGAACTTTAAAATATTTTATCAAAATTCACCTGTTATTGTTTCGAACGCTAACGCGAAGGTATTCATAAAAGATATTATGATAAGCAGTAAATTACGACGAAATAAAGAAACATATAATAAATATTGTTTTCTGAGAGAGTAGATTTTTTTTCTCACAGTAGCTGTATGTGTTTCGTATATGACAGACAATCCTAAGCAGTAGGGGAACGATCCAGAAGGGGAAGAGATAATAGAAAGAGAGCAGTTTACGCGTGGCCGAAGAGCCATGCTTCGGCGTTTACAACTTCTTAGGTGCTGCGAGTGTCCATGGGTGGCAACGATTTTTACAGTATCAGGTGATCCGTCTCCAGCCGGGGATGCGGGGTAAGCGCAATGAGGCACCGCGACCTCGGCCCAGAGCAGGGGAAGGAACGGGGGGGGGGGGGAGGGGGTTTAGTCAGTAAGAGTCTGACACTCCCTCCCGCCCGGTCCAAGGCTAAATTTTGGTCGAGTTTTTAAAACGTGGATGTTAAATGTAAGACTTTAAATCTCAGTAATAACTTAAATATTTTTGAACTTCAGCTAAATAATCTGTGCCATCCGCCCAAATATTGATTATAATAAACCATTATAAGGATTGTAAGAATGAATTTGAATTTTGTATGTTTATAATTAAAGCATTAATTCCGTTGAACCAATTAACTAATTACGCACAAACGTGAATTTATTTTATGATTAAACAGTTTTCGTAGAGGAACATTTAAGGGATAATAAATTGCCATTTGTAAAAGTTATTTTGATTAATCACGCGAAGTAATTAGTTCTACTTGTATAGTAAGTTTGAGTCATGCGTCAGATTAGATAATTTTATAACTAAATTTTAATAAAGGTAGTCAAAATTTCAGTTTATAATTTATCTAAACTAGGTATTTGTTTGTTTGTCATATTTTGGCATCTGTTTTATAATTTGAGTGGTTAGAAAAATCTGATCAGTCCAATAATTCTTAAATTTCAATTTTTTTACCGCATTTGGTTGATTTCGAACAATATATATATTGTTTCGAAAAAAAGGAAAAATAATTTGCAAATAAAATTCTTTTCTACTAGTACCAACGGTGGTTTATCTTAGCAATGTTGCAATCGGTTATGGTAATATATTACCTTGTCACTTTATTACTGCAATCACTGTAGACTAGTCACATTCTTAGCTTATCTCAAGTATTTTTGCAGGTTCGGTGTTCGGGTGCTCGAGCGCACATGCTCGGCGCTCGACGGGCGGCGGGTGGCGGCATTGCTTGTTTGCGGCGGCGGCAGCGCGGCCGCAGCGGTGGTGATGGCGGCTGCCCGCGCAGGAGTCCCTGTGCTGCGCGCCTCACCTTCCCATGTGCACCTTTCCTACACCATCGCCAACGTAAGAATTAACTATAGAACTACCGTAACTACAATTCAACTTATTAATAGTCAGATTTATATATAGTTTGTTCAATTAACATAATATAATTACTCCTTAACATGCAGTTGAGCCCTTTTCCATTGAGAATAATAATTATTATAAAATAAGCTTTTCTGTCACGAAACAAACGACACGGTGTGGAACATTTGTTGCATCGTATACATTTGACTAAACCATATAACGTGACTTGGTAGGTGAGGAATATTTATAAACCCAATAAAACATTATAGCAAATGTGTAGTATACGCAAGTGCGTAGGCAAATACTAAAGCAACACATTTTCTCGCCATCCTTCAAACGCATTTTTGGCCCTTAGCCCGAGAACGATCCATCATCATTTTCACGTCGCCGACGGCTGCTAAATCTTTAAATTATACCTTCATAAAGGGACTGTTGGTTTCTCTCATTTGTTAATATTTAGAGAGCGTTTTCGCGGCCACAACAACAACAAATTGTTCGGAGGTTGTTGGTAATTGGCTTGCTTCAGTCACTGGGGACTTAGTTATTAGTATCGTAAATACTACTGACCTAGCTATAGGCCACTATTGCGATTGTCATTTGAATCCA